TCTAATGTAAAATAATTTGAACCATGACGATGCACTTCTGGAACGCTGTGAGCTAACCACTTCAGCCACTAAGGAGTAATGTACCCAAAATGTTTTAATACTATTTATTATACAAAAAACTTTATAAAACAACAAATAAATGCTATAAATTTAAATTAAGGAGAAATCAAAATTAACAATAATTTTCAAGTAAAAGTTAAACTGTTAAAATTAATATATGTTTTAACATTACATAATTTGAAGTTTCCATAAGTTACATATTAGCATACACTTTCAGTCACATTTTCTCATAAAAAATGCTGCCGCTTTTTCTTGCCCTTACCTCGGTTGCAATGGCTGCCAAGATTTCTGTTTCAAACACACACAAGAGGGCACTACTGCTTTTAAAACTACTACTATTAAGTTCAGTATTATTATAAAGAGATAAATACAGTACAATTATAATAGCACAGATTAAATACTGTATATACTCTCTCTTTCTCTGTCTCTGTCTCTCTGTATATATATATATATATATATATATATATATATATATATATATATATATATATATATATATATATATATATATATATATATATATATATATATATATATATACATATGTATATATATATATATATACATATGTATATATATATATATATATATATATATATATATATATATACGTGGGTGTATACACAGGCCTCAGCAGGAAGCGAGAGCTTTAGCTCAACACTCCCCTGAAACGGTTTAAGAGATCTATTTACAGCTCTTGCAAAAGTATAATCTTTCTCATAAAATTATAATTATCATTTTAAATAAAATAAAAAACACTATGTCATTTAGAAAAAATTAATTGCATAATATAATGAAATGCTTTTTAAAAGGCATGGTTGTTGCAAAAAAAATTATAATTAAATAAGAACGTCAATTTAAATAGGGAGCAGCTCGTACAGCTCCCCAAGTTCGTTTTAGAAGAGCTTTTCTCCGCTCTTGTATTCATTCATTCCTGTCGAAGCTTATATATATATATATATATATATATATATATATATATATATATATATATATATATATATATATATATATATATATATATATATATATATATATATATATATATATATATATATTAGGGCTGTTCATGTGAACACAGGAAAAAAAATTTTTTCTCGGATTTGAATGCATAGTTGTTTATTTTGTGCCATTTGACATAGTAATTGACTGTGTAAAAAGTCTTTCCAATCAGATAATGTTTAGGGGGTGCTCAATGACCATAAAGTTTTACGAAAAACGTCAAAAACGTGGAAAAAGTTCCAAAGTTCCAAAAATTTCTAGAACCTGGTTAGTTAGATTTTTTCCACTGAAATATTGTCTGATTGCGTGCTATATAGATTAATTAAAGTGCAGCAGATTAACTGTCATCAGGGCACCAGACTAAAAAATGTCTGCTAGTGTTTAAAACAACTGTGTTTATATCATTTTGTTAAAATTTGTATTCATAATTTTAATACTATTATTTAACTCAATTTAGAATTTGTTCAAACAGAATAAAAAGGTTTACAAGTATAAATATTATTTTTATTTGGAATTTCAGTTTGACAACAAATGTATTAATATTTTGATAGTACCTAACCTTAGTAACCTATTACAGAAAACTAGCATGGTAGTCTGGTAGTGTATTGTTTGTTATTAAGTGCAGATAATAATAATTTCTAATTTGAAAATATTTATTTAATTTCTTTAGTAATAATTATTATTATATATTGCTGCAGCTGCATAAACCAACAACTGAATGATAAGTTTGTATAATATGGTATTGAGTTTTGATTTTCTCATAATTTTTCAGTTATCATTGAAATGGCAGCATCATCTCGTGTTGCTATCTCTACACGACTTCAAACCGAAATCTTTTTAATTGGACAACCGGAGCCAAATCTTCCAGATAAAGTTCTTCCCTTAACATCTGATGTTTTAAAAACATTTTTTTATCATCTTAATTCAACCAAAAAGTCAGTGCCTGAAAGTCTTAAAACAACTGTTGATGAACTGATTATTATTTGGAATAAAGCCCGTATTCCGACAACATTTCATCCGAATGTAGTCTTAAAGTTGAAAACTTTAGTCCAGGAATTTAAATTAATAAAAAAAAAAAAATCCAGATTGTCAGATTCTCAGAAATCAAGAGAGAAATCATTTACAGACACCATTGGCCTACTTTTTGACATTGCCCACAAGGATGCTGAAACCATGATCAGAATTGAAGAAGATAAAGAATTTTTATTGGATCAGAGATGTCAGAGAAAAATGGTGATGTTTGGAGAGGACAAAGAACTTTCAAAATTAGAAGCAAGAAATGAAGCAAGGAAACAAGCAGAGAGAGAACGAAAGCTAAAAGAAGAGCAAAGACAATCTGGTGCGAGTGCAATAGTTCCTGTTATTGAACCTTTACATGACGAAAGTTATAGTGATGACAACGATAACGATGCTGTTGATAATGACAAAATGGTTGATA